TCCAGCACTCCAGAGGCAGGAAGCAGGGGTTCACGTCCCGGCTCTCCGCTGTCTTGCTGTGTGACCTCAGGCAGTGCCCGTCCCCTCTCTGAGCTCCAGTTTCCTCCTTTGTCCCCTCTGTGATGTGGACTGGAACCTCCGTGTGTCACTTCTGGGACTGAACTCACGACTGAGTCTTGTTCATCAAGGTGTCCCTGATGGTGTCTCTCTAGGGTCCGGAACAGGACTCATGCTCCATCCGAGCTTGTGGACAGCTGACCAGGGTGGGGGTGGTATGACAACGGGGCCCAGCTTTGGGGACAGGCTGACTGGATTACTTGCTTCTGAGGGGCCGATGAGGGGAGGTGGGTAAGAAAAAGCATTAGGACCCATCTCTCCCCTCTGTTAGCTTCACCCACCTGCAGAACACTCCCTCTCCTGGGGTTCAGGCCCTTCTGGCACTTTGTCAGGCAGGTGCTCCCTCCCCTGCAGGCCAGCCCTCTTCCCTGCTGACGGGAAGGACAGAGGCAACAGCATTAATTCCCTCTGTGTGCTGAAGAGTTTGTGTTCATCTCATCTATTTTACCCATACAGCCGCTTCCAGTTAATCAGTCACTGAGGTCCCCAAACACTCCCCACCTTCACAGCCTAGATGGAGGCGGGGGAGGCAGAAGCCAAGCAAGAAAGCCTGTGCTGACTGGTCAGTGGGCATTTTATCCACAGTCAGGTTGGTAAGAGCTGCAGGGTCATGGGAGCACCTGGAGGCTAGGGCAGCCTTAGGCAGTAACAACAGAGGTAGCAGTCCTAGAATAGAGGAGGGGACTTCTCTACACCATTCCACGATGGTCAGGCCATTCCAGAGCTTTAGTTCTGGCTCCCCCACTCCCACTTGGGTGAGAGCAGGTCCGATTGGAGAAGATTCCGAGATGGACGTTCAGGGTTGTGGGGGAGGGACATGGGTCTGAAAACATGACCTGCTGGGGCAGTTGGGGAAAAAGTTTGGAGGAAAGGCGAGAGCACCCAGGAGTCGGAGGTTGGCTGGTATAAAGAAGACAGCCAGGGTTATCTCAGGATGGGTGGGTGGACTGATAAGTGTATTCATCCATCTCTCACCATCCATCTGTTCATCCGCAATCTGTCCGTCTCTGTCCATCCATCCTCCATCCCTCCACCCACCCACCCACTCACTGGGAGGCAGTGGGCATGAAGGTTTGGGGTACCAGTTCTGGATGAGTTTGATGAGGCCAAGCCCCAGGGTCTGTCAAGTGTCCAGTGCCATCTGCAGTTATCACTTTATTCGTGACTTGTGTAAACTTAGGCGACCTCTCTGAGCCTTGCTTTCCCAGATGGAAAATGGGGATAGTTACACTTCAGTGTCTGTGATGGTCGTACACAGCTGGAGAGTCGCCAGGTCCAGGTGGCCAGACGCATACGTCTGTGGCTAGACCTCGAGCTCAGAGGGGCGTGGTGCTGGACCATTGATGTGTGTGCCAGTGGACGTGCCCCCTGCCTCCAAGCCGTGGCACCCACTCTGCAGGGAGAGCCCAGACAGTATTTGAGGGGATCAGGCAGCAAGTTGCGGCTCCTGTCCCCACCTGGCTTTGTATACAGGAGCCTTGACCCCCCATCCACTCTTCCCTGGGAGGGAAGAAGCCTCGGTTCCCTCCTCTGGGGAGGGGGCAGGAACAGGGGAGAGCTGACAGCTTCGTGCTCACTCCCCAGTCCCCGGTAGTCCAGAGCTACAGAAATAAATGAAACTGTACAGTTGGAGTCATTTGCTAATTAGTTTAAGTAACACCCCCAGTCGGAGACGGGACATAAATACATGAGCAGGGCTCCCGCAGCCGGGGCGGTGCTCAGAGTGGGATGGATGGGAGACTTGAAGTGGAAACGTAGAGTCAGATCTGCAAGGCGGTGGGCAGAGGCCACCGCTCGTCCTCCGATTGCCGTGTGGGAAGGCGCTCAGCGAGAGCCCCCGGCTGACTCCGTGGCCTGGCGGCCTTGAAGGAGTTGGAGTCGCTGACCCAGGGATGTGGGATCACCTGGACCCATGTCCAGTGACCCCTCCCCTGCTCACCGCTGTGGGACCTGGACAGATTCCTGACCCGAGAGCCTCATTTTCCCCAGCTGCACAGTGTATCCCAGAAAGTTCCTTGGGGATTGCAGGGGCCAGGCTTTACCGCAGGTGGCTGGCCCGACGATGGGGTCCAGGAGATGGTGGTCTTCTCTGGGGTGTCCTCCACGACCCTCCCCCAGATGCTCAGGCCCCCGCAGACCTCCTCCCTCCCCGCGGGCAGCCGGAGCAGGGCCACCGAGGGGTTCTCTGCTCCATGTCACCCTGTGTTGCTGTCGGCGGCTTCATTTGCCAGATTTTTGCTGGGACCTGCCAGGGATGGGACGAGCGAAGCAAACACATCGGGTCTTGCGCCCCTGCAGCTCTCCGGCTCGGCTTGGGGAGCAAACAGATACTCTGCACCCCTCAGCTGGGCCCAGCAGGGTGGGCTGTGATGCAAGTAGGAGGGTGGGCACAGTGGGGAGGCAGAGGGCCTGGAGAGCGCCCTCCCCCACCTGACTGGCAGCACCGAGGGGCAGGGGCCTGCCAGGGGTGGGCAGTTCCTCAAAATGAGTGACGTGGGCGGGGTGTGTGTAGTAGGGACAGGTGGGGACTGGGGCAGACGGACATTGGCTTCCGGTCTAACGGAGGCACAGATACTCAGCACTTGACTGGGCCAGGAGCATGAAATTTAAAATTGATTGATTGATTTTTAGAAAACAAAGAATGGCATTTTATTGGGACTTTTTTGCATTTTTTATGTTGGCAACCAGATTCAAATAGAAAAGTTGTGCCAAACGAAATGTGCCTCTGGGCAGGTCTGGCCTGCAAACGGAGGCCCGGGGAAGCTGACACTGCGAATACCAAGTGCTGCTTGTCTCTGTTCAGTGTCTTCTGAAACCCCGGAGCGGTTTGGAGGGGTGGGTGTTCTTCTTCCTGCTTTATAGGTGGGGAAACCAAGGCACACAGCTGGTGAGTGGCAGAGCTGGGTCTGGGACCCAGGCCATAGAGCCTGTCGTTGTCTCGGGGCTCCCAGAGTAGATAAACGCCAAGGAGGAGAAAACCCTCTTTTCTCAAACTTATGAAGGACTCTGGGGCGGCGGGAGAGGCAGTGATGAGCAAGATTATGGTTTTCTGCCAGTTTTTGGGCAAACTTCTGTCTTGCTCCCTTCCCTGCTCCGTGGCCAGGCTGGGACTCAGGTGACCCTCAGGCAGCAGTTTGCCATGGCCACAGAGCTCAAGACCAGACAGGATGTGTAGGTCCTGGTCTCAGGGGTGAGGCAGGGGTGTGAAGAAATAAGATTCTAACTACGTTCTGGACTCTTCTGTTCCCTTGCAATTAGAATATGATAGTTGTAGTTACAGTGCCCAAAACATCGTTGTATTATTGTTTATCATTCTCATGATTGATTGTTTGCCACAAGGCTCGCCCTGCCCCTTCCCGGAGCTCACACAGGGCTGGGAAAAGCACACTGCTTCCTAGAACGCCTATCGGGAGCCGAGTCTGACCACACGTCTGTCCCATCCAGTCCGATATTGTGGGCGTCAGTTCTCAGTGAGGCAAACGGTCCTTAGAAGTTGGGCCATTTCTGGAATTGGGTTCCTGACAGAGCACTCACAGGGCAGAGGATACAGAGTTTCACGAAGGCCCTGCTCTTCCTGAGGAGTGGGGGCAGAGAGGTCCTCAGCTCCCAGGAAGGGGCATTCCCCAGGCACACCCTCTGTGGTCAGGGGAAACTGAAGCTCAGAAAGGTTGAGTGACTTGCTCATTTGAGAGGTGACAGAGCTGGGATTGGAACTGAAGCCAGCGGGCTCCCGAACTGAGCACTGCAGCCGTGTGTGCTCTTGTGGGGGTCATGGCCACCCGGGGTCAGAGAAGAAGCACTGTGAGGGGTGGATCTCCAGCAGCCAGGCGGTCTCTTGCTCTTCCTTCTCCATTTGCCAGGAGCCAGGAGGTTGAGGCCCCTTGGGAGGGTTCCCCGACATGTCACCAGGCCCGCCCCCCCCCCCCAGACAGAAGGCTGGAGGGTCCAGGAGAAGGACTTGGGCCTCCAGGTTGGCTCACCTTCAGCATGACATTTTCATCCAAATCGGGGCCCACAGGTACTATCATGACTTTTTCTCCAGGCCCGGGGAGCCCAGCAACTAAGGCAGGTGGGCGATGGGGAGGCTGAGACCCGAGCCTGGGGTCAGGCTGGTTTCTGGGGGGCAGTGGGGGCCAAGGGTGGGGGTGGTGGTTTACTGAGTCCGAGGGGCTGTGGTAGTGGGAGGGGGGGCGGCTGTGCCGGAACCCGGCCCACAGCCATGTCAGGCGGGAGGCAGCACCCACACCTGCTCAGGGCATCTGCAAGGTGGGGTCCCAGAGGAAGAAAGGGCAGGAAGTAAGGTGTGGAAGAATGGCCCGGGGCTCTGCACAGAGCCAAGCTGGAAGGACCTGTTACTGGTTCGGTGTACGGTCTGCGTAGACAGCTTTGTTTGGATTGCATTTGGCTTGGACAGTCAGGGTTGGCCCTTCCCCAAGTGTGGGGTCTCCAGAGGTTTCACACAGGCTCTGCAAGGAACTTGCGCTTCCTGGTGGAGGGTGGTGGCTCCCGAGTCAGGCCCCCCCGTGGTGAGTGGCCTGGGACAGCGAGGCTGGGGGGCCAGGCCTGGAGGTCCGGGGTGGGGTCTCCTTTCAGGGGAAAAGTGGCTCAGACAGAGGAACCCGAGGTGGGTAAGTCCTGAGGATGAGGCCAGGGGCCCTCCTGCTGGTCTGGGTCTGGTGGCTTGTCACCTACCTGCCACCGGAGCACGGGGGATGGGGCCACCTGCCGTTGCCTCTGATCCCAGGGCATGGATGGGGGACCGAGCAGCGGGGGCTGCTCTGCTGGGGATCCCGGTGCCTCTTGCCCGCCGCCCTCCCCCGCCTGGGGGGTGGCTCTCAGCAGGCCAACAGCGGTGTCCTGCGTGTCTCTGTCCACCCCTGCAGGTAGCCTGCCCTACGAGTACAAGATCGTGATTGCCGGCAACCATGAGCTGACCTTTGACCAGGAGTTCATGGCTGACCTCATCAAGCAAGACTTTTACTACTTCCCGTCTGTGTCGAAGCTGAAGCCAGAGAACTATGAGAACGTGCAGTCCCTGCTGACCAACTGTATCTACCTGCAGGACTCGGAGGTCACTGTGCGGGGCTTCCGGATCTACGGCTCGCCATGGTGAGTGCGCCCTGGGTGCCTTCCCGACCTCGGGAGGGGCGCTGGGGGAGCTGGGGCTGAAGGCGCAGAGGGAAGTGGGGCTTGGGGAAGCACCAGGGAGCTCCAGATCTCAGCTCTTCCCACACCCCTGTGTGGCCCCCGGCAGGCCTCCATATCTAACTGGCAAGTAGTTCTATCAGCTGTGTCCTCTGTGCTGTTTGTCTCACGTACAGACGGGTATTGTTATTATCCCCAGTTTCCAGGTGAGCAAACTGAGGCACAGAGAGCTTGAGGATCTTGCCAAATGTCATGCAGCTTGGAAGGGGCAAAGCTGGGATTAAACCCAGGCACTCTGGTTCCAGAACCCCTGCTTTCAACCATTATTGTGTATACTAGGAATCTCCCCATTGCCCATGTCCCCTGACACACACCAGAGTTGCATGGGTGAGGGGTGACGAGCGATCAGCCAGGCTGAGGAAAGGCAGTTGTAATTTTCATGGAAGGCCGAAGACCTAGTTTACTGTGTCGGAGATGGCAGTTGTTTCCATCATGAGTACATATCAAGCTCTTACTCTCTGTTGGGTGCACAGAATAATCAGGCCTCATCCCTGGCTCAGTGGGGATCATGGTGAGAAAGAGTCATGACTCTTCTGTGTGATGGTCAGTGTGTCCATCAGAGCCCTGGTGAGGATGATGCAGATGATGATGGGGATGATGGTTGTGATGGCCATTGTAGTGGTGATGATGGTGATGATGATGGTGGTGGTGATGATGGTGGTGGTGATGATGATGGTTGTTGTGATGGTGATGGTGGTGATGGTGCTGATGGTGATGATTATGGTGGTGATGATGGTGGTGGTGATGATGATGGTGATGGTGGTGGAGGTGGTAATGATGACGATGATGGTGATTATGATGGTGATGATGGTGGAGGTGGTGATGATGATGGTGATGATGATTGTGGTGATGGTGATGATGATGGTTATGATGATGGTAGTGATGGTGGTGATGGTGATGATGACGGTGATGATGGTGGTGATGGTGGTGATGATGGTGATGATGATGATGGTGATGGTGGTGATGGTGGAGGTGGTGATGATGATGGTGATAATGATGGTAGTTGTGATGGTGATGGTGGTGGGCAGCAAATCATTCTTGAGCAAATTCAGTAAGCCGGTCCCTGTGCTGAAGTCTCCATAAGCATTGTTTCTAATTCTTACTCAGCCCTGAGCAGACTGATTTATTGTCCCCATTCTGTAGGTGGACAGGCCAAGTGGCCCTTAGCGGGCCTAGAGCTGGCAATAGCCACAGGGTGCCAAGTGCTGGCAGGGTGAGGAGGGTACCATACACAGTGGGGAGAGATCACATGTCCTGAAAGTGTGGCGTGATCCCAGAAGGCTCCTTGGAGGAGGTGAGGTGACCTGAGCTGTGAAGGAGGAGAAGGGCATTCACAGCTATGGAGGGGTAACGGCCTGAAGCTGCACCATCAGAACAGTACATGCAGGGAGGCTGAGGGATGATTTGGGGGCACACGGGACTGTATGGGTGCAGGGACTTTGGGGGAGAGATGTTACCAACACAGCGTGTCTGGGAAAACCCTGGCCTGCCTGGTGGATGCCATGTGGTGACACCTGGTGGCCAGAGGCTGCTGGTAGGTTTAGGACCTGGTTCCATCTTGCCAAGGCCTCCTCATGGGGCAGAGGGAAGATGTGGGCTGTCCCACTGCCCCGGAGCAACAGGAGGTGCCTGCTGCCATCTCTCTGGTCCTCATCGTGTCCGGGGTCTTGATGATCAAGGACCAGGGGGGCACTTGAGGACATGAGGAGCTCGGTGCCAAGGCCAGGAGTGGAGAGGAGGCCGTTGAATCTGCCTGGCAGGCCACTGGAGCCCAGATTTGGAGAAGGAGTCTGGCTGAACATGCTGGAAGGACTGGAGCGTGAGGTGCAAGAGGGAAGTCAGGAGGGTCAAGGGGGAGGCCTTCAGGTACCAGACCAGGCAGCCTGGACTGCATCTCCTTGCCCAGTATTTTGAACACCCCTTTACCCCTCCACGTCCACATACATACACAACGCTTTAAAAAAATATTCTATTCTGTAGGAGGTAGTGTGGTTTTAGAACCAAACTGCTTGGGCTCAAATCTTGGCCTCAACTTTTACGAGCTGTGTGACCCTGGGCAAGTCACTTAAGCTCTCTGTGCTCCAGTTTCCTTCCCTGCAAAATGGAAGTGACAGTGCACGTCCTGCAGGGGGTGGTTGTGAAGGTGTCAGGAGGGTTTAGCTGGGCCTGGTGCCTGTACCAACAAGCTCTCCATGAACGGAGACCCCATTGCTGTAATTTACTGCAGAGGCCAGCCTTCCAACACCGCCTTGTGCAGAGCCCAATATGTGGGCTGGAGGACAAGCAGGGGATGGGGACTGGCAGGTGTCACTCAGTGTCCTCCCCCTTCCCCCAGAGCAGCTGTGTGCACCCCTATGGCTGGGGGCTGAGCAACTCCTTGGACAGCCTGCTCTCAGGCTCATGGGTGTGTGGAGGGCCAGGGTGTTGGGCCAGCCCTGTTGCCCCTCTGCCAGCTAGAGGCCATGTGCTGGTGCTCCCGAGGCCTGAGTGAGGTCCAGCTGCCCTCTGCTTGGGCCACCAATGGCTACTGACTTTGGCTTTTGGGGTTTCCAGCCTGGACAGTTCTAGACCCTTTAGTTCCAGAATTTTCCTGGGGCCTTACTGCTTTCTCCTTGACCCCCTTACCTGTCATCCTGGCTGGCTGGGTGCACACCCACTGCCTGATGCCATGTGGAGCCCAGTACTGAGTGCGGGAGTGAGAGGCTCAGGCCAGAGAAGGGACCCCAGGAGGCCTTGGTGAGATCCAGGAGGGCTCCCTGTCGGAGGGGGGATTTGAACTGTGGTTTCTGCAAGTGGAGAGGGCAGGAGAGGAGCCATATTTCTGAGTCCCATTCTGTGCCAGTCTCCCCCAGACTCCTCTGGATGCGGTTTGGGCAGCCGTTGATGCCGAGGGCTAAGTGGTACCTTGTCTGTGCTCCCCATGCAGGCCATGGGCTGGTGTTTCAGCAGCTGCCCTGGTTTCCCTCGGGCCCCATCTGGGGCTGGGAGCAGGTGGTGGGTGTCACAGCAACAACCATGGCCAGCGGCTGGTTGGTAAGGGAAGGGCTGTTCAAACTGGGACACTATGAATATGTAGCTGTGTGACGTTGGGCAAGTGCCTTAGCCTCTCTGGTCCCTCTGTAGAGTGAGGAAATGATACTACCACATTATAGGCAGTTGTGAAGTCTGTGTGGGCCCATCCAGATGAAGGCCTGGCCCAGAGCAAGGCCCTGGAGGTTGGTTGTAATTACTATTACGGGGAGCTCCTGGGGTGGAGGCCGGGATGAGGTTAGCTCTACTCCAGCTGATACCTCAGCAGCCCCCAAGGCCGGGCCAGGACTCTATCCCATTTCACAGAAGGGCAAGTAGAGGCGCAGGTGGGCTGTGGCTTGCCCAGGGCCACATAATGACTGGTTGTCTGGACTCCTAATCTGGGCTTTTCCTGCTCCAGCATAGAAGCCAGTGTCCTTGTATGAACACGTACTCCGTTCCGGGCCCAGAACAATGGGCTCTGTATGGGTTCCTTGGTTCTCCAAAAAGCCTTCTGATGCACCTAGGCCTTACTGGCCCCGTGAGGATATTGAGGCCAGTGGATCCAGTCAGTGTTTTCGTGGTCACCTGTTAATTGCTTTGTTCCTTTGTCAAGGCTGTATTGAATGCCACACACTAATCTAGGCCCTTGGGGACATGCTGTGAACCAGACAGGTGCAGCTTCGGCCTTCACGGGGTTTATGTCCTCGTGGGAGACACATCAGCCACCAAATCCTTGATTCTATAAGGGCCAGGAGGAGAGGGGCTGGGAGCTGGGGTCAGGGAAGGCTTCCCCTGGGAGAGGGGCTGCGGCTGAGGGGACACAAGCAGCTATGCAGCGTGGGGGGTTGGGGAAGGGTGTGACAGGCAGAGGGAACAGCTCAGGCAAGGACCAGGAGGCTGGCAGGGCCGTGGGCATTCTGGAGGCCGATGCTCAGCTCTCAGTCACAGGTCCCTCTGCCTGTCACCCTGTGTCATCAACCGGTTGGGACCCCGCACAGCACAGCTGAGGTCCAAAAGGGACATAGCGCTCATATGTGCAGGCTGTCAGTCCAGTGCTCGCTCCCTGGGCCCAGACACACCAGGGGCGTCCCCAGGCTCTGACTCTCACTCCATGTCTGACCTGGTGAGTCATGCATCTCTGAGCCTCGGTGTCCCAAATGCACAAGGGGACACTGCCCCGCCAGGCTCCTCTGTGCTGTTCCCAGGTGACACTGCCCCTGGGGGGGTGTTCACAGCTGTAGCACCTCCTGGTCCCGCTGCTGATTCTGCCTGGTGCAGGGGTTGTGCACCCCCCAACTGTCTGCCAAGGCTCAGCCCCTTGGCACCGACCACCTGGACATATGGCGGCTCATTAGGAGGGTAGCCTGGCCAAGATGGTGGTGATGATTACTAAGTTCAGATGTTCGGGTTTCCCTTTCTTTTCCTTGCTCTCCACACATTGACTAACACGGAGAATACAGGAGATGTTCTCTCCAGCTTTAGAAGTGTAATTATACCAGTGGGGGGACGGGGATTGAATAAAGCTCTAGCCATAAGCGTCCAAATCGAAACGGTGTCTGGAGCATGTGGGCAGGGCTGACCCAGGTTGAGGGGGAGACCTGTTCAATGTGACCCTAGCTGGCAGAGCAGGGGCACAGAAGAGAGTGACAAAAGGCAGGCTCTCATCAGTGTGGGAAGACTGTCCCACAGGCAGGAGCCCAGAAGAGAGGTGATGTGACCTTACTGAGTGGTGAGCTGCCCGTCACAAGGGGTGTGCAAGCACAGACCCACTGTGTTTGGGCCTGGTATCCTCCTAACCCCTCCCCGCTTAGAGGGCCCCAGTTTCTCTGCCTGTGCTGATGATTCCCCTTCAGAAGGATGCGCCGGCATGCTCTCGGGGGCACAGGTGGGGG